TTCTCACTTAAGATATCTTCAGTTTTCTTCAGTTTAACTGGGATATAATTAAATAAAAATAAATAGGGTATTTAAAAATAATATAATGATCTCGTTTAGAACTGAACCGTATTGATAGTGGAACAGTGTGGCTAAACAATTAAGAGACCAGTTATGGTTTCTAGGCCAAATGACAAACCTATCACAAACATTCAAAGTTGATGCTGTTTTCATACCTTTTCCTCCCTTTGATAGGCACATTTTTAGTGAATTAAACAACTAGCAGCATCTTTTGGTGTCTGTGTACACCAAGTGTGTAATGAGGCTCAGCAGTGATTTGCCACACAGGCTACTCATCATCCTTGTGTGTTGCATTCTTCTTTCTTCTAAGATTAATTGTATTTTAGGACTTCTCTTGATTCTAGTGCACTTAGCATTAAATATATTTGTAAGGTGTGAATAGAAGAACACATGAAAGCATATTATGTATAAATACAGTACTTCCATCTCAGGAAGTCTTGCAGCTGCACAGTTATTGAGACTGGGAAGGTGAGCTGCACATTCTTGCTCAGTTTCTACAAAGTGCCCTCTGTTTGGGCACTACTGGGGATAGGTTAATGGGTGGAAGGGACTTCTGTTCACACATAATAAGGCTTCTGTTCTTACCCCCACCATTCCCTTTTCATATTGTCAAATTTTTTTGATGAAAGAAGCTTTCTGGTTTTAAATCTGTCCAGTGAAAAATATAAATGAATATATCCCAATGATATTGTAAAAACATTTTTACAATGCTCTTTCTCTCCTCATCCCTCTCTCCCTCCCCTCACACCTCCCTCTTTTTTTGTTGTATTGCTTTTGTTTGTGTTTGTTTTTGCTAGAGCATCAGCTTTTAGAACTGGAGCAACATCTAGCACAGACAGAGAAAATGTTAAATTCTTTATTGACTCAGTTGGATCCACTTTCAAACTGGTGAGTGTTTCTAAAAAATCTCACTCTTGTTTCCTGTATATTGAAATTTGCCAAAATGTTAACGAAGAGTTCTTAAAATGATCCTTATATATAGGTAAGGAAAGTTTTAGGAACCTTCTTTGATTGCTTACTGTCTGTAGCTTTTACGTAAAAATAGTTATGAAGGTACAGCTGCTTATTTTTTGTGTTTTGAAATGAATCTGTGAAGTGTGTGTATTCCAGTGAAATAGAACTTGTTTATTTTACTAGGACAAAGGAATCAGTAATATAAAAGCTCCTTATAGTTTTAGAGAAGTTCTGTTCTTAAGAAGCTAGAGCCTTACTCATCTACTAGAAATAAAGTATCTTTGCAGTTTAATTTCTAGACTGACATCCTTCATGAAACATAGGTTAAAACATGCAGAATTTCCTGATTGTTTCTGAACTGGATATGTGCTGAAACTATTAAACAGACAAGTCACTGGCCAGTTTGCCTAACAAATTTCTAGTAGTGGTGGGGTGGAAAGTTAAAAAACCTTAAATGAGAAAAGCCTTCAAACTCTAAAGTTCTACACTGGGCATTGTTGTATTACTATGGATAGTAGTACAACTTTGGATAATTGTTACTTTCAGTAGTCATTACTCGACCTTGGCCACTGAGGCTCCAAAGCCAGAGTTCAGTAACATTCAGTAGTTGTGTGATGTAATGGCCTCCCCACTTCTCAAGAGACAGTTCTCAAAGGAAAGCTTGACCTAAACATTTCACAAACTTCACTATGGTACTTATGCACAGAAAGAAATATTGCAATAAGTGTATTATTATCAAACAGTCCCTTCCAAGATAATCTTTCAGCTGTTAACATTTGTCTTATTTTTCTAGTGTCAGTGCTTTAGCTTGTGAGCAGAAAGATGAAATAATGACACAGCTCCAATCAATTAGACGACTGATGAAAGAAAGTGGATTGGATAAATCAGAAAACAAGATGAAAGGTAATTTAATTTTCAGACAGATAGATAATTAAATAGTTTATATTTTAAAAGAATAAATAGATCCTACTATAATAATGTTCAGCTTCTGAGTCTTGGGTAATTTGTGTGGAATTAGTTTTATTCTGGAGGAATACCATTCTTCTTATTTGAGATGTATCCAATTTCAAATTTTTGATACATCATGATTTATTTAAGAATAGCTGCTCAAGACATTGAACTGGGATGGACCACACAGTCACATTCTGTTTTGATAAAACAGGCTTTTGGAACATCAGTTCCTAAGTAGTCTGTTAGTACTGGAGTTACTGGAGTAACTTTAGGCAAAGGATTTCCAAATGAGGACCTCAGAGGCTGTGAGTAATGCTTACATAAAACACTAAACAGCAAATTGTATGTTAGTTTCAACTGGAGACTTCCAAGAGCTGCATGGTAGCCCAAGAGAAGTCTTAAATGTTAAGAATGGTCCATTAGAAATTTGGTGATTTTTTGGCATTATTTGAGTCTTAATAAAAGAGAAAAAAGAATTTAAAAATACTCTACTTCTAAACTGAAATTCAGAGCCTTACCAGTAAACTTTAATTTTGTTTTTTTTTTTTTTTTTTATTTTAAGATCTTGGACACATTTGTGATGAGAAACTTGAAGATCTCATTCAGTCGTTTGCCGAACATTCTCAAGAGAAAGAAATGGATAACAGAGAAGATGACTGTAATGAAGATTTGCTTGAGGATATTGATAATGATTACAAAATAGAAGAGCATGAATTGCATAGTGAATGTGAAATACATCAGTTGGAGCCAGATGTTGTAGAAGATGAAGAAATTATAAGCAAAGATGCCATTGAATCAGAAGAGATGGGACTGAGGAGACGCAATAGATGTGAATGGAATCTGCATATGTAAAACTTCCAAAAGCTTATGAATTCTTTTTATAATGTTGTATGCACTTTAAACTGAAATGAAGTTATGTGCACTGCTATATGCTTTAAAAAGAGGGGTGAAATACTGCCTTTGCTCGTATCTATGACAATTCTGTAACTGACTTCAGTGGCAGCAGAATTTTACTCAGGATGTTTACATATTTTTTCTATTTATTTTTTCCCTATAAAAATATTTCTGTACTCTGTATATAATGCACTGTAATTATATCTGATGGCTCACTAAAATATTAGAATATCTTCTAATTGAGACTATAAAGAATAGATGTTTCATAAATGTTTTGTAACTAGAAAGCATTATGCCACTTGAACTGTGACTTTCTTGAGTTCATTAAAGAGCATGCACTGATAAATTCAGCTCTTGGTGGAAAAATTTTCTCTGGGAGTGTGAAAAGCAGTATGCATTAAGTCTTTGATACTCATTCATAGTTAAGTTTCTTTATTTGGAGAGAGAAATTCAGCCATGGACACGATATGAAAATAATGATGTCTAAATTTGCAGTCTCCTGAGTAATGATGTTTAGTTTTGTATGTCAACTTAATCCCAAATATATTATACTGGATCCCTTAATTTCTTCCCCACTTGTCACTTGTTAAACTCAGCAGCTGTCTAATAACTGATTCATACCCATTAGGACTGTATCTCTGTGTCACATTTATTTTAATACCATAGAATCTGACTTTTTGATTCATTTTAATACCCTTTTTTTTACCTCAGAATTAACAGATGTGTTGCTATGTACCATTCAAGAACTGTGGGGTGTGGGATCTTTTTTCAATATATTATGCCAACTTGGTATCTACCTTTTTAGGTCACTATTAGGAAAAGCATTATTTTCCTTTGCCAGAATAATTTTTGTCCACCCTTTCAATATTTAATAATTTTTTTGTTCACTTAATGCACACAACTATGGTACTACCAGCCTTTAATGACAGGAGTTGCCTTAGAGGTAGGTCTGATAGTATGGCACTGTTACATTTTCTGTTTTATAATTGCATTGCTTTTAACTAGGCCAGTTATGATGCCTGAACTCTTCTGGCATCCTTATTCTTACAGGAAAATAGCATGTGAATTTATTTTTATGTTTTTAATGTACTGTACTTAAAGGGACTAAATTTATTATCATGTCACTCACTGAAATGGAATGAATTGTTCATTCTGGTGTAGACACATGGTATGTGTTTTGTTCTAAAACTGGATCACACAGGCTTGGAAGTAGCAGCACATCCAGAAATACATCCTTAGCATCAGTGTGTTAGTAGTTTCTCACTGAGTTCGATTTTGCCTAACTTTGGAAAACTGATTGACTACAGAGCCAGGGTTTCTCAAGAGGTGGCAGATTTTTCCCCCAAGACAGAAGGGGTTAATCTGGTATTTTCTAAAATCAAACTGTATCCAAGTACCAAGATCTGGTACTTGGATACAGTTTGATTTTAGAAAATAACTGCTGTTGCTCTGGGCATTCAGGACAAATGAAACTGGAAAAAAAAATCAGTTTCATTGAGGCTTTTCTTTGAAATAGCTAATGTATTAAAGTGAACTAATGTCAAAGCCATTGATCTGCGGGAGCGATGGAGTGGGAGCCAGGTGTGCTGGCTGCCGAGGTGTGTGCAGGGTACAGGTCAGTCCCGCTCCTTCCAGGCACTGGCACCGGTGTCCTTGGCCACGGCGGGCCCTTCCCCGCCTGGGGCAGTGTTTGGATCTTTACTGCTGTGCCTTTCACCTCCGCGAGTCTTCGGAGGCTGCTGCCACTCGAAGTCCTTGCCCGAAAGGCTCTGAGCTGCCTCGGGCTGATCGCTCTGTTTCGGACCCAGGCTACAAGCGCGCAGCGTGCGCTCTCTCGCCGCAGTTTGGAGGTCTCGATTCCAGCTGCCGGGGTTTGCCGGGGCAGAGCCCGTGTGCTGTGTAAGCGCCCGCCTGTCCTGGCTACGGGGCCTTAGGGAGGGCAGAGCCGCCCGTGGGCGCGGGAAGGGAGGCACGGCCGTGCCCCGGGCAGGGAGTTTCCGCAGGAGCAGTCGGGAATTGCGGTTCCCCACTCTGCCGGGCGCACCTTGCGCAGCTCCGGTGCGAGGCCTGGCTCGGATTGGCCCCTCCGCGCTGCTGTAGCGCCAGCCCCGCGGCGCGGCCGGGGCGGTGCGGGGGTGCGGGACGGGGCCGGTCCGCCAGCCGTGAGCCCTGGGACTGCTCCGGTGAGACACAGCCCCTGCCCGCCGGCGTCCCGCGCCTCTCCTGGGAAAATGCATCATTTCCGTGGAGCTGCTGAGCTCATAATGTTTATTCCGCCTTTTGCGGCATTGGTGTTTGGTAAAAGTAATCTCAGCGTGTGCACCATGAAGTACAACAGCGCTGTCTGCGGCCCCGGGTGGGAGGATGCTCCGTTCCCGGGAGAGCGTCCTGGCCGTGCGCGGGCATTCTCCGTGCCCTGAGGAAGGGTTCGGCGGGAGGGCTGTGCGGGGCTCCAGCAGGCCCTGCAGCCCCGCTCCTGCTCGGGAAGGGAAAAGGTGCCTGGCAGTGGGAACTGCTCAGTGCCCTCAGCCTGTCGTTTGAAAATGGAGCCTCCGAATGATGGGCTTTTGGTTCAAACCGGGCTGCGTGGAGGGAGAAGCCAGCAGAGCAGGAATGCTTGGTGGCACGGCACCCTGGAGCTCTCGGAGACAGTCCTGAAATGTTCCCAGGGCACTGAGCGATGGGGAGCCAGGCAGCCAGGGCGTGAGCCGAGAGTACCAAAGGTTTGATGTTGCCAAGGGGTAACAAATTAGTAATACCGGAATGAGAGTGTATCGATAAATGTAAGGGAAAGAGGGAATTGAGCTTGAGGCAAAAGCATAAATTTGAACAGGAATCTGATTAAGCATTAGTAATAAAAGGCTGAAATTAAGAGGCTGTGAAAAAGAGAAACTAACTGCATTTCATAGCTTGCTGAAGACAGTACCAAAATTCCTTCTAATGCAGTAACATTTTTTCCCCCAGAAGTACTTAGATAAAATAATACATGTTTTTCTTAATAGTATTTTCTGTTTTTCAGTTTTTTTCTGAAAGCTGCCAGCCACTGAATTTGCATGGATTTGGAAGTTAAACGAGTTGCTGCATCCCCTCGAAGAAAGGCTGAGTTGTCATTGAGGGGGAAGAAATGTCAGGTAGTCAATGGAAGGCTTGTGATTGTTTTTCTTCCTTACTTTGACATTTTAAAAATATTTTAATCATACTTCACAAGGTTCTTAGTTTGAGGTTAAAATCCATTCTATAGAGGAGACACCTTTTAAAATAATTATTTTTGTCGGAAAGGGATAGTTTAGTATGACAGCTTCTCAAATGAGGGTGAGAAATTCCAATATAAACAGCTATCCAAGAATAACTGCTACTCTGAGTACTTAATTGGAATGTGGGGGATTTAAGAATGAACTAGTACTTGCAGTTAAGAGCAACAGAGGCTTGAACATGTACTGTGTGCTCTCTGGCTGTTGGTGAAACTGGCAACAGGTGTGTCTGTGTTTTTGTTTTGCAAGACAGCAATAAAGTAAAGCAGCCCCCATCATATAATTTGAAAAGGTATGATTTTAGGTTGACATGAAAAATGAATCTCAGTATGGAGGGAAATTACATTTTCCAGGAATTCCTAATAGTGTATGCTTTAAAATAGGGGAGGTGTGCAACCCTTACAGGTTCACTGTAGTAGAAACTTTAGGGCTAGCTTTTGATAGTCCCTACGAATATGATCTTGGATTCTGAGGGCCATTATTTTCCTTACTGCTCAGGTAAATATTAATATTGTTAGTAACAGTTGACTGTTCTCACAGATAGTGTTGTACTTTATGTCCATGAAAGAAAGTTAATTGCTAATCCTCCCTCAGCCCCCAAGCACCCATTTTACCTCCTTATTTGTTGCATTAGGAATTGCATTAGAATCAAATCCTAATGACCCCATTAGGAATTCTTGGAGTTTGCCAAGTTGCTGGTCTTCTTTTCAGTTTGATTTGGAATGAAAAAAGACCTTTTGTGAACGTTAATACATCAATGTTATAATGTTACTGTTAATGTTTTAACCAGATTTTTGAAAATTAAGTACCTGTGGACAACAAGAACGTTTGGGGCATTTAGTATAGGTTGTAAAAGGAAAGTGTTGTCATTTTTTCCTCTAATCCCTCATCCCTTTTTTCTTTCTTTCTTGTGCAACTAAGTTTCCAAATTTAGATTCTCTAGTCCACATGATTTTTGGTAGTTTGCAAAAGTAAATCTTAAATTAAAATTATGCTGAAATCATGTGCTTCACCCCAGTGTTCACAATGTTTTTTGCTTGCTTTCTTCCTGATTTATTGACTTCTAGAAAAGGAATAACGTTAAGGCTTTAGCATCTAGAATTAGCTGTGTTCTTTGCCTCACCACAGTTAAAATAGTACAGAAACAAAGAGGAATGTGGGATGTAATGCCTTGTTCTTGATGCCTTGATGGTCCTAGGTAGGTGACCACAGGGTGGCGGTGCTCATTACGTGCGGAGAGCTCTCAGAGCTGGGTACCCGGGCTCCTTCTGGAGTCACTAGAGGGTAGTGTTGCCGAGCTTGTGCTTCGGGAGCAGCCACAAGGCTGCATGGCAAGAAAGGAGTTACAGTTTTGTGCTCGCTCTCAGATCGTGAAGGATGTTCGAGCACTGCTGGAAATAGGATTCTGCTCAGTTTAGGCTGTGATGCTGAGATTTATGAGCTGAGAAGTGTGAAAACAAAAATGTTAGCCCTGGTTCTGAGTGTTCCCAAACAATTTTTTTTCAGACTGGGAGGCCAGTTAGGTGAATCGTTACTTTGTGCTTTCCACAAGCAGCCTTCCCTAAGGATTTGCTGCTAGCTGTTTTCAAAAGCCATAGGGGGATAGGTGATGCTTTGACTCGAGTCTTTTCTCCTGCTGTGTTCTTGCTCAGTTGAGTTTGGAGATCTGTGTGGTATTCGGCCTTGCAAAATAAATAAAGTGAACTGCCTAATCATCATCAGGACTGCTATAGTAAAGCTGAGATGAAACAGTTACACCAAATATCAGGGGTTCTTTGGGGTCTGGGCCTGCCCCTTGTGAGCCATCTGGCTGTCAGTTTTGTGGTTTTGGTTTAAGGGTTGGTTCCCACCCAACAAGGACAATGTGACCTAAAGCCTTTGTGAGCAGTGATGGTACAAAGCCTCAGGAGCACGCATTATTTTTAATGTATTATTAATAGCTGATGTGGATGCTGTCTAGATTCTTAATGGCTGGAAGTCTTACTGTCATGATGAATATTCAGTCTGCTAGTCTCATGATGTGTAAGAATTAGCTTTCAATGAGAAGTTTTTGGTTTTTTCCCTTTGTTAGTAGTGTCTTAGTCAAGTATGTTGGACAGATACTTTAAGCCTCTAATTTTAAATATTTAAGGAGAAATTGAAAAGGGAGAACGATGTATTTTAATCTGGATCCCCTAGGTATGTAATAATGTGTCATTCTTTTAGGGTTGGAGACCAAATAGACAGGCTACAGAGTCCTTGCCCACCAGAGTAACTCTGCTTCTATTTCTGATCAGCTTGTTTAATTGTGTGTATTATTAACACAATGCATTTGCATTTATAGTGACATGCAACTTAGTATTCCATGAAATTTATCATCATAGGTTTGTTTTCTGTGATTTATATTTGGGGTAGAATATTTGATGTATTATTTACTTTGGAATTAAGTTGATTTATGTTTGGCTGAGTGGAGGTTTAATTACAGAATGGGTAAAGATGAAAGAGACCACATTGGGTCTAACCCACTGGTCCATCTGGTCCAACCTCCCTGCTCAAGCAGGGTCATCCCAGAGCACATTGCTCAGGATTGCATCCAGATGGTTTTTGAGTATTTCCAGTGAGGGAGACTCCACAACCTCTCTGGGCAACCTGTTCCAGAGCTCAGTCACCTGTGGTGAAGGAGGTTTTTTTGGGTGGAACTTCCTGTGCATCAGTTTCTGCCCTTTGCCTCTTGTCCTATTGCTGGGCACCACCAAGCAGAACTTGGCTCCATCCTCTTCAGAGTGTGTCACTCAGAGCTACATATTTATACATTGTTTTGCTTGAATATTTTTAAAGTCAAAAGGAGAAAAATGGTATTTTAGCTGTTGGCTGCTTTTACAGGTATTACAGTAAAAATACAGAGAAACTGTTGTTGTGAAGGGTTTTTACAAGCAATGGGAAATTTTGTTTGTGCTTTTAAAATTTAAACCCTTATAATGACTTTGGCACATAAGGAGTATCTACTCTTCCAAGGACCATGATTGATAGTTTAGCCAGTTTTGTTTACTGAAATGCCTTAGAGCCAATGCATGTAATTATTTTATAAGTGTTTGTGACTATGACCTTTGATTCTTCCAACCAAAGTCAAAACATTCCAATTTCTGTGTACTGTCTGTCATTATCTAATAAAAAAAGACTGTAAGATAAGGAACTCTCTTATTCCAAGAAGATGTAACAGAGTTGCTTGCAAATCTTGGTGGTAAAATATAAAAAAATTATGTATTCATGGTGCTCTGCAATATACCTGGAGTAAAGACAGAAGGCACAGAGATGCTTGGATGAATTGGAGATGTTTTCATTTCTTTAAGCAGAACAAGATCCTGAGGCATGGTTGCCTTCTACTGTGCTAATCTTCTATGGAAAGTTCACAAGATTTGCATCCCAAGTAGCAATTGCTTCCCTTTTGCTCTCTGTTGACTAGTTACAGAGGCATGTTGACATGGGTGTGCTGTGGAAGACAAGAGTAAGGCACCCCTCATTTATGATCATGTTGCAGTAGCTCCTGTTGGGGAGTGAAGAGAAGCCAATGTGGCAGTAAAGAAGGATCCTTTTCAGCTGACAGGGTGCTCTGCTACTGGAGAGGAGAAGCTCAGTGGCCACTTGCTGAGCTGAAGCAAGAGAGGCTAATAGAGATTTGCTGAGTAGCCCATATCCAGTTGCATGGAAATTTTTGTGAAGGACCTAATAATAACTAATAGGCAGTGCTTTTATTGTAGTTAAAAAATAAGGGAATGTATTGCTGTTAAAATTGTTTTAACTCCTTGCAGGGTGCCATGCCTAGATCTAGGGAGGCTGGGAGATTTTGATGAAGAGGTAGTTGTAAATTAATTTTGTCTCAAAAAGTTTTTAGAATTCACATTTTTCAGGAATTTTAAAAATTATCGCTCTGAATATAAAACAATTGTAATTGCTTGTCCTTTTTTTCCTGTGATTTTAGGATGGGGACTCTTACATGCTGTACACTGGAAGTTCTTCTCATAGGTGCCAGCAAGATTCATCTTCAGAGTGGAGAATGTCATTACAGACTCCATATGCACAGCATCAACATGTCAGTCTGTCACTACAGATATCTTTATAATATACCCCTTTAGCAGTAATTTAGAAAAGCATGCATATATTTTTTTTATGTAAGTTCTTTTGGTTAAGCTCATATCTCCAAGTGCTGTTGGTCCAAAATATTTTTAGCAAAGTCCTTTTACTGAGATTCTTTAGAATATTTGGAAAAAATATTTTATTACATAGCTTAGCTCTTTGTTGATTGATGCACTTACCCTTTTGTTGTACTTATTTTTTAAGAGCTATATTGACAGTAGAAATAACAAAGATTAGTAGTAGTAAGTGTATGATTGAAGACAAAATCCATATTTACAAACACTAAGTATTATTTCTATGGAGCAGTAGTTACTTCTGGTGAAAAGAAAACTTTTGGAGTTACTTGCAACCATTTAATGTTTTTTTTTTCTTAGGGCTGTTGTCTTTAAAACATAAACTTTGGGACATAAACTTTGGAATTGTGTCTGATTTGTTGATGTACTTTTTATTGTTAAAATTTCCTCATCATGTTAGCTTTCCCCCCCCAGATGACTAAGAAACTTAATCACCACTAGTCTTAGGTGCTTTTTAAGGAAAATCAGGAGCCCAGATGCTAATATTATGATTTACAGTACAGTGCAACATTGTTCATGATCAATATCCACTGTAAAAGTTTTTAGAGCTAATTTAATTACTCAGTTATTACACTTCCCTGAATGCAGGAAAAGAGTTCTTTTGAATTCTTATATCTGAATTAAGTATGAACAAAATAAATGGGACAATTTTTTATTTGATCATGATACATCTTATTTCCTGCTTTCCTTTAAACAGGTGTCAAGAAAATTGTGTCAGAACAAACTGCAGGTAAAGAAGTTGAAAAAATACAGACTGACAAAAAGCCTTATCAGTTCAGTACTGTGGTATATGGTCTGAAAATGTAGTATGTTATAATTTCTTTTATGTGACAGGAACTAGCTTATTGGAGAAACAATTAAAATTAAACTGATTCAAAGTCCATTATTTCAAAAAGATTTAACTTATGTAAACCTAAGAAATATCCAAATGAGTTTAAAAAAAAAAAACAACCACCAGGATTTTAACCAGAAGAAAAACCTATTTTAAATTAATTTGTACATAACCTATGCTCCTTGAAACAAATAATATAGTAACTTGAAGGGAAGAACTCCAGATTGGCTGGAGTTCAAGGTGAATCTGACAAGATCACTATTTTGTATGTTCCTCTATATAACCAAATTGTTTCTCTACTTGAAAACCAATTTCATTTAAGTAAAAACTGAAATGGTGGGTTTTTTTGTCTTTTTCAAACAATGTACTAAGAATATAATAGTTTTTAGAATACGTGCCCAACATAGGTATTTATACGTGTCTCAAGATGTAACTGTAAACATGTAACTACAGATAGGTTATTTTCCTTTCTACTGCCTTGTAAATGTGCAGTGCAAGCATGCTTCAGTTGTTATGGCCTTTTTGGGTCTGGATGCTTATGCTTACACTGCTTGCTTTACCATATTTTTTTAAACAAAGTTTCTATGTATAACTCTGTCAAGTTGCAAGAGTGCTAGTAAAAGGTTGGTGGGGTTTTGTTTCTCAGGGTCTTTCTCCCTTTCTTTTCTGCTTTCCTTTATGTCTTGTTGCTTCCTTTCTGCCTTCATTATGTCTTAAATACTGACTGCCCAAAGTAATGGAATGCATCTTCTGCTTACTTACCCTTTCTGTCTCTCTTTCTCCCTCTTTCTCTCTCCCTTTTTTGCCTGACTTGCTCCCCATCTTTTTTTTTTTTTTTTTTTTTTTTTTGTGGAGAAGATTTTTAAGCTGTTTTAAAATATTTTAATGTATTCCTCTGAGAGGCCTTTACTTCTGCATTTCTTGCTTCTGGGGCTCTGACCAAGCTTTCTCTGAGCCAGATAGATTCCAGCTTCTTCAGTAACTGTGTAAGTAAATCTTCCTAAAAGACGTCACTTCTGGAAGAAAAATTTAAATATACTCTTATAATTCAGGAATTAACCAGGGAAGGGATGTGAATCCTCCTTTGAAGAAGAAAGTTGGCTCTTCAAAAACATAAATCTTTTTGGGTTTTGCAGAATGGTTTTCTAGAGCAGGACTGTAACTCTGTTTTTGCAAGATGAGTTGCAAGTGTTGAGTAGAGATGCTAGAGAAGGCCACCTTACTTTTTTTTTATTAGCACTGAGGGAATAGAACTTAAATATTGAAGGTGTTAGTTACTCAGGGAGACAGAAGAGAATGGAATCATGGACTTCTGTCATTGCTGCCCTTTCTGCTGATGCCAGCCTCTGTTGTGCAGAGGCCTGAAATGGGTGTAAGGTTAGAAAGGTACTCAGCTGTGCAGCTGATGTTGTTCTAAGGAACAGTGTCCCACTTCTCATTGGCCATACAAGAGTATTAGAACTTCTGACCAAAAAACATCCATCCATCTATTTTCAGCCATCCAATAATCAAATGTCAGAATTTCCATTTTAGTGATTTTATGAGGCAGAACCATTGAATCTGACTTCTTTCTTTAAAAGTGATGTAAAACCATGTGACTGTGTATGTTTTAGATTAAAAAATGGTAGGATTTGAAGAACTCAATGAAAATTAGGCCTGAACGTGCAGTGTTTGCATTTTTTCTTAATTTGAAGCATTATGTCAAGAGGTTTTAGACATTATACTTTATAGGAACTAAAAAAATGCTGTTGGCATTCAATAGACCAGACAGAGGCTTTTATGTTAATTACTAATTGCTTTAACTTTCTGTTTTGGAGCAGAGGACAAGACCAGAAAATCTGCCATCCCTCAGAGACAGATCCAAGTTGAAGCATGGTCAGTATGAAGAAGGTATGAAGGAAGAATATAAGCAGCATCCTCAGAGAATTGCAGAAAAGAAAAAAGACCACCTCCAGTGTCCAGACACTTCAATAAAGGTAGCTGGAAATTAGAAATTGCATTTTTAAATAGCAGATGTACATCAATATTTCATTATACTGTTTGGAAAGGTTTGCACATGTATGTAATTGATTTTGTGTTTTTATTGTAAAGAAATAAAACCATGTAATTTAAACATCTGATGTTGAGGAGGAAATAAACTGTAGGAAGGTTGTTTCAGTTGTTGCAGAGAGAGAAACTGAAGTTCTCTGAGAATTTATGTCTGGTTGTGTTTTCTGGTAAAGAAGGTAACACTGGCCTTCCTAGTGCACCTCTAGCCTGAGCCTGAAGGTTAGCATGATTGATAAGGGAGAACTTAAAGCCTATCAGAAGAGGAGAGACAGCAGAAAGGTCTTGGTAAAGTGTTATTTCCAAAACGAGAAATTAATTCAAACTTTTTTATTTTTTAAGTCTAGAAGTACTTTAATTACTATTCTGTACATTGGGACTTAAAAAAGGAGAATTTAAAGATTTAATCTGTTCCTTAGAGGACCATTAACACTGAAAATGCAAAAGAATGTGGGGTTAAAATAATGAAAGATATTATCTGTACTTTTTGCTTTGATATGGTATAAGATTCAGTACAGTTGGACTGTAAGCTGTACTAATTCTGCCAGGTTTCTTTTGTGTTTTCAAATTAAGGTGGAAAGAAGGGTAGATCAATGGAGAGAAACTGGAAAACAGAGGGGTGACAAACCCCAACCTTAGCAGTGTTTGGTTGAGATAGTGGAGGCGAGTGTTTGAACAGGGAAAGATGCATCATTGTAGGTGTAAGGAGGCAGGAAACCTAAGTAACAGCAGCTGTGAGGACTGGTTGAGTGTGGAGAGCTTTGGGGATAATTGGCTAGCTGAGAAGGGCCACTTTGATGTGATACGTTGGATAAGGATAGGGGAAACAAGCTGGGGATTAAGTAATAAGTGTCCAATCACTGACAGAGGTCATGGTGACCTTCACTGCAACAGGAAGATGGGGGAGAAAATCGTTTGCCAGAAAATGAAGATAGCCTAGGTAGAGTAGCTATAAGAATGTAAACATAGAAACAAAATAATCATTAGAGCATAGAAGTAGGTGTGGTTGATCTAAGTGTGCTTTAACCAATAATGAGCTCAGCTTTTGCAATATGTATAAGCTTCATTAACACCAATATAAATATGTGTGAGTTATCAATAAACTTTGGGATTTGCTGTTCACGCATGTTGTGTGCTGCAATTCTTCCGCCGTTCACGACAGTTGAGTGCTGGATTCTGCTGAGGGTAGATGACCATTTAAGAACCTTAATGCAAAGTTAAGTATGCAAATGTTGATAGAACATACTGTGCTCATTGCTTTTCAGAGAAAAGGTTTGTGATGAATAACAATGAGTTTACTGAATTTACTTTCTTAACATTCAGTAGAATGAAAAGGGAAGGATTTTCAAAAGAAAGATTGTTTCACATATTGTAGATAGCTTTAAAAGAGCTTTCTCTTCAAATTGTACTTTTAGTGATCAGATAAAGGAGGATCTGAAAAAACCTATTAATAAATATTCAGTGAATAAGAGGTGAATGAAAAAAAAGTTGAAGTGTTTTGTGGTTTAGTTTAATGTTTAATGGCAGATAAGGTTTTCTGTTCTGGAGATTTGTTATAGTTTGGTGTTTTGGTTTTTATTTTTTTTTTTCCTTTTCTAATGATTCCACTCTAATGTACTGGTCTGATATCAGTGTCATCTGTTTTTCAAGGAGTGACTCCTTTATATGCACTACTGCAAGCCCATCAAAAGAGTATTTACAGGAGCAGCAAAGTTATCTAAAAATGAAGAAATATATGTCAAATGTATGCTAGGAGAGAAAAAGCAGGACTGGCTTTTTTTTTTTTTTCTGGTGATTTTGGGTTCTAGAAAGATGCTTGTTAAGCACTAGAAGCATGTGTGTTAATTCTTCTCACAGATTTTAATATAATGTCTATCAGAACAATTTTTTTTGTGTTAGATATTATCACTACCTGATTAGATGAATAAACAAAAAGATTTCAGTACACTTGCTTTGCTTGATTAGTGGAACTTGTAACAACTTCCCTTTTCTGTAAAGAAGGTGCTCATAGAGGAGATTGCTAAACCTGTTTCTGTGAAAACTTTCTGCATCCTTTTTTTTTTCATATTGTCCATGTAGGAAATATTTCTGTAATACTCTGGGACTAGTTTACAAGTCTGTTAGAACCAGTAGCATGCCTTGGCTTTTCCCTGTCTAGGCTATATTTAACTTCTTCACTGGTCACAAAGCAGTATCTCTACAGTGAGCTTTGAGCTTTATACCCAAGAGCAAATCCTCTGCTTCCACTTGGCTGTTCGTGTGCAGAACAGAAAAAGGATGAGTTCTTTACTTCCCCTCAGAGATACTAAAGTCTGCTTTCTCTGACTTGCTGCTGTTTTTTCACAAAGCTTGTAGGAACATAGTATTTTTGAGATTTAAAAATTTTGTTATTTATTTCAGTATGAATGAAAACTGGTAAGTATTCAAAAGATACAAATCTTGCTCTCTAGTCTTTCCTTGTAAGTTCAGTTTCTGTAAAAAGCTAGGCTTAACAAAATTCTCTTTTAGTTAGCATGAAGTAGAAGAAGTAGACACATTAAAAAGTAAAGAAGTAGTATTTTTAAATAAATTCTTGAGGAAAACATATGTGGATTTTTTAGTTTGTTTTTATTACAATTCATTACATTTGAGTTATAAAAAGAATGTATTTTTTGTGTAGGGTACACAGCTTGAAGATGGACACAATGATTTTGTAACCCTTGATAAGAAAACTCTCCTGCAATCATGCTATACAAACCTACCTTATAATATGCAGCACAACATAAGGAAATCAGAAGCTGTAAGTATTTGGACTGGTATTATGCTGGTATTATTGGTATGTATGCTATTATTCTCCACCTAGATGTGGAGAATATCTTCCCAAAAGTTCAGCAGAAGTTATGCCTTTGGAGATTTGGGTCTAGTATGTAATTGCACCCATTGAAATCATGTGACTTGAAACATTTCTTTCAATGGGAACTGAACTGAGCAATCCAGTGAGCATTTTAAAATCTTATCTGCAGTGCTTGTATTTTATGCATTAATCTATATAAATGAGAACACAAATTATGAGTAATATGTACAGATACATTCATATAACTAAGAATAACTGAGGTAGTTGAGTGAACCTAAACATAATGTTACATTCAGTGTCAGAAGTTGGACTTTGATGATCCCTGTGGATCTCTCCCTGCTCAGGATAATCTATGATTCTAGGATTTCCTGTGATCTGTAGCTTTTAGCTGAGCCTCTATTCAATGGTTTCCATCAGCTAGTATTCGACTGAGTCAGCAACAACTTTGGCTGTGTCTTCAAGCTCTAGGGATGGAGCTTCTACAGTGTCTCTAGGCAACATCTTCATGTACATGCTATTCTCTGTGTGAGGAAGTGCTTCCTATTGTCCACTCCAAACACCAATCCTCCCAAGGCTCAGTGTGTAACCTTTACCTCCTGTTATACTCTTGGCTTCTGTCAAAAAAGTTTGGTTCTCTTTGTAACTTCTCTTCAGAATGCCTTATAGCTGCTGGTTCTGCAAACTAAACAAACCCAAGCTCCCTTAGCTGCTCCTTTCAATAGCTTTTGCTCTGGTCTTTAGTCAGATCCTTTCTGAAGGAAGAGGGGAGTCTGGAAACCACCATGGACTCAGTAGCATGCAGAGATGCAGAGAGGGGAATTAAAGCTTTCCTTACATGGATGTGCCCAATACACTTCTTTGATTTATTACATAGATGTGAATTTTACTTTTTTTGGGACCGAACAATAGGAGTCTTGCCCATCTGAGGCAGGCTTTGAATTTAGGATCATTTATAGGGATGAAGAACCTTCATTTGATATTGCATGATTCAGTATTTGCATATGCAGAGTGATGGCTTTTATAACTGGTTTTTAAGGGGTTGCTGAAAAGGGTTATGCATTCTAACTTTCTCATGGAATAATAAGCCATGAGAAATGTTATGATTTTTTAAAAGTAAATAGTAATTTTAATTAATTTTATTTGCTCATCATTGTGCATTGAATTTTGCATCATTGCAACCATTTATTTGATTTCTAGTCTTGTTGAAATGAATGCAGATATTGCTGTACTGAGGTCACTGTTAATTTTCATGACAAGAAAATCTTTTGAGGAAGTACTTAAGCTTTTATTTTTAGAATAAATTAAAAAATCTATACTACTGGCTAAAGATAATGGAAAAAAGTCTTGAAGTATCCCTAGAGTAACTACTTAATGCTAAAGCAAGTACAGTGAAAGCCCTGAGAAAGGGAGCTGTGCAAAACTACAAAATACAAGATATGCTGTAGCTGCCATGCCTTAAAATAAAGCCAGCAGGTGTCTGGGCAAGGTGTTACTGAAGGTCTTCAGAACCCTTTTGTTATTTGTTAGCACTCATGGTCAGCACAGGATCTCTCTAGGATTTCCTTTGCACACAAGACCAATTAGAAAAAGGTCTTAATTCTTTAGTTTCAGAATATCTAAAAAAAATGAGATTGCATAAACCCCTCAGTAACAATAAGCTATATTTTCTCATCTATACAATGAATTTTTTTGAATAAAAGGCAAAATAAATGCAGTAAAAAACTTCAGGAATTTGGAAGATTAAGACAGGTGCTGAGGCCTGGTTATTGCTAGTGGCCTCCATACTATCCTGGACCATCCTCTTGAGTTTTGGTTTCTCTCTGTGTAACAGGTTATGATCAAGGCCTGCACACTTTACAGTGAATGGTACAAAGTTATGATCAGTGTTACTCTAATAAAAATAAAAAGAAGTTCATGTTAAATCTCCTTTCCCCTTTAGGATGATATTTCCTGAGAGGTTTTTCAGATTTCTGTCTCAGCAGAAAGTTATTGTGGCATGCAGGAAAGAAAAATCTTGCAATTGAGACTAAGTCTTAAAAGAATTTTTTTGACTAAATATTGCTGGAGGTAAAGTTTTATTCTCTTAGTTGGAATCTGTGTCACCTGAAAAACCTGGAATAATGTGAGTCTCCTCAGGCTCTATTGTACTTACAGAATGTATTAGAAACAATACAGAAATAAGGATTTTAGAATTCTCATATTAATTACAACTAATATGCATAGACAAATTGAGTGTGTAGCAGAGAATATTATATGTCTATTTTTTATTCAAATAGACTCTGTTAAAAAGATAAAAAATATTAATTGTGGCATGGGTAAGTTTGTGACCTCTGAATGCTGTCTTAAAGGGTAACTTATTATTTGAAGTGTCTGCTATTATATATTTCACTTGTTCTCAGCCAGTTTTTCATTGCAGGAGGATGTCACTGCAGAGAAGAGAAAACAGGCTGTTGTAGAACAAGTTATGGTGGATCAATTATGTAGGTAAATGAATTTATAATGTAAAATTTCCATTTTCCCTACAGAAGAATTTAGATCCATTAGTGTTTGGCTTTTCTTGCTTAAGAGGTGTTTTGATCGTCTTGTTCCAAATCCTGTGAAGTCTTATGTAGTAGTATTATTTGCAAAAAATTCTTTAAGTGAAAGGCTTTTTAATGCAACTTAAAATATCAGTTTAAAGTGCCATGTGTATGTTAGTTTTTTTCTGGAAATAATTCCTAATTTTATGCTTGAACCTATTTTAAGGTCTGTACAATAGCACTAGATCTTGAAAATAACCCTCTTGCACCTCAAGAAAATACATGGATGCCTGATCTTATAAATTACATGTCCTCAGTATTTATTGCCCTTTCTAAAAATCATAGTTTTATTAATATTTATTAATCCTTTATTAATACTGAAACAGCACCTCTCAGGCATAAAGGACTATTATACCAATGCTGGGCATGTAGGAAAAAAAGGCAGTATTATAAATTGAGTTGGTCCAGGTTGTACAGTAAGATTTCCTGCCTTCATTGCTATCCCTATCCCTGTAGCTTCAAGAAAGCATTGCTTCTGTGCAGAAAGATCCCTCTATTTTAAGCATGCTTTAATAATTCAGGGCTTTATGCAAGCTGTCTGGTTATGACAATATAAGTAGATGCAAGCTAGTTTAATATAGTTTCACATTACTTTATACTTACAAAAAATTATCTGTGGGTATGTCTAGATTATTTTGCATTCTGTGCATAGTTTACAGTCTGTGGAGTCATCTGCACTGGTGTTCTAGCCCATCAAATCTTAAGATTTTGAGGTTGAAATGTTGTTGCACTTCACCATTTTAGTTTTTATTTGTTTCTGTTACAGTGGCAGTTTAAATGACCTATATTGTTTGAAAGTCTATTAGCACTTTTACACTATTTAAAAGCTGACATGACAAGAAGGTTGCCTGAGGGAAATAAGACAGTCATGAAACACAATGTAAAATTCCAATTTTAATCCTCAGGATTAAAATTATGGAACTGTACTGGGTTGAAACCCCCAGTTTTCAGATAAGTGCTTGGCTTGTGTCATATCCCTTTAAAGATTATTACAGAGGTGATCTTAAAAATATGCTGGTTATGTTGAAGTGTTTTTGTACTACTGATGTTGCATTAAACGTACAGCTCTGTGCCCATTCTGTGTTTTTCCTCCTTCTGCTGCTTTGCCTTATTTTTTCCATGTCTTCCTTCTTCTACTCTGAACTCTTCTGTTGATAATGTCAAAACAATATTCAGTAGTGCTGCAGCTGCATCAGAATGAAGTTTTAATTTTAAAAAATCTCTCTGTTTATGTTCCAAATATAACTCTGTCAGTACTTCTAAACAAATTGGAATCAGATATCAGGATGTTAATCGGAAAAGATTAGTTCAAAACTGTTGCATGAATAAAAGCTATTTAAGGAAATTCAAAGGTATTTTGAATATTTTCTTAGTAGAGCAGATCCTGCAATTAAATCAGTGTAACTGATGTGTACAAAGATGTATCTGTATAGATCAGACGATTATAGTTTTCTAAACTATAATAGCCATGCAAAATTATTTTTTCCGTTCTGATAACCATTTCAATAGCATAATGAGCATCTCATTTATTTTTAAAGGTTCTCTTCTTTTGTTTACTTGTTGAACTGACACAGAGAATATCAAAACGTTCAAAACCCAGTTAATCTATTCCTATTTGCTTGTTGCCACTTTGAAATCCTCTCAGCTGTGTAGTTAGCACTTTGAGGGAGGAATTGCCAATGTTTTTGTTGGATGACAGATTGGATGGGGCTCTGAGCAACCTGGTCTAGTGAAAGGTGTCCTGCCCACAGCATGGGTTGGAACTAGATGATCTTTAAGGTCCCTTCCAACCTAGGCAACTCTGTGATTCTGAGGTGATGTCACTGGCCAGTGCTAGTACATTGATATCACTGATACTGGAGGGAGTCATGGTTAAAGAATATCACTGTTGAAATATTACAGAAGTAGTAGAAGTTATGAAAAACCCCACAAGCCTTCATAATAATAAGATTTATTTTATATAAAGACATATAAAATATACTTTAAATAATATGTATTTGCATTTAACATTACTACATAGCAGTGCACGGCCAGAATATTATTGCATATGTTTGATTTTGTGAAATAGACTAAAGAATTTGTAAAAATAAACAAAAAATTAGGCCCACAAATTTATGCAATCTTAATGGATCGCTCCAAGATTGTATTACTGTATTATTCTTGGGTGTTTTCTTTCCTGCATAAAAATATGTAAGACCTGAAATCCAGCCATACTAACAGTCAGAGGGTTGCTCCCTGCTCTTTGTGGTCAGAGCTGTTATAAGTGATCCAGAGCAGTCTACACATTCTGATGCTTGCCAGGAAGCTCCAGGACTTTTGGGAGTTGGGATGGCACCAATGCGTTTTAGAAAAAGGACCCTCCATGAAACAAAGTAAGTTTATAAAAGTAAATTTTCTGCTATATATTTTTTTTTAGCTATGTGAATTCTGTTTGCTTTTCCAAATGTTCTGGTTTTGGCTTGGATCCACCGGCTTCATGTGAGGCCTTTTTTGTAGCTTTCCTGTGATTATTATTGCCTAGTGAGATAACAGGGACCTTTTTCTGTGAATTCTCTGTGAATTCTCTGTGAATTATGATTGATTCATAGAATTTATAAAAACTGGGAGAACATTGTTAAGCTTATGTTGATATTATTCATCACAAGGATTTGCCAGCCTTTTCTAAGTGGTTGGATGTTTGCAATCCTTTCAGAGATTCCTATCCTTAGGTGCATAAATTGCATAAATATGCATCTGTAAATGCTAATGTAGACCTTCACAATAATCATACTTTTCTTTCATGTTTTGATTTCTGCTGCAATAATTAACCCTATTGGCATTTAAATGACATTCCTGGACAGTCAACATTGAACTAGTAGCTTCAAGGACTTAAAAAAAAACCTGAGGAAACACTGTGATCCATAAAATTAAATGAATCTGCAGGTCTGAGTTTTGTTCTATTTTTCTCAACATTCAGGCAAGAATTTCTGCTTTGTGCATTTTAACATCCTGCTCTTAAGTCTTTTTCATCAAATGTCATTTTTGTTTTTTTAAAAAAAGGAAAAAAAGACCAAAGTAACAGTCTCAATTTCTTACATCCATCACATAGACAAATCTTCATTTCTGGAACTGGTAATAGGGCCAATATAAAATATTTATGTGGGTAAAAATGCCCCCACCTGGATATTTTTGCAAGAGAATGCATTGTTTCATGGAACTGTGGTGGGTGGTAGAGGTAAAGGTTAATTCTTTATGTAAGTGTATGTAAACAAAATTTCCCATTCATATCTATGTTCTCTGTGAATGTACTCTCATATTATATAATAACAGAACACTTTACAGCTCTGAGTTGCTTTCTAATTCAACTACAAAGGATCATCTCCTCAGCCAGTTGCCAAGGATACTGTATTGCATGGTTTTTGCTGTTGGAAAATGGTTGAGTTTTATGTAACAATTATCTGGGAGCATATAGATATCATTAACATGCTGCATTATTTTCACAGAATAAGGACCAAATCAGGACTAACTGAGAACATGCTCTCCAACAAGCTATGCTTCGATAGTAGGATTATATCGAGGTAATCACAAATTTTGTGAAGTTTTTCAATGCTCTCAATTTGTGAATGAGGATTACTCTCTTGGACTGATTAATTGCACTGAATATTTCTGCTCTCTCTGTTGAAGGAAAAAAGTATGTGTGGGTGTCCATGTGTAGTACAAATTTTGACGTAGCTAATGGATAGTGGCTTTACAGTCCCACTGTACAATGTTAAGATCTGTTAGTTGTGTTATGTTACCATCATACCCATAGCTCTACTCAGGACAGTTACCACAGGGGCTGTCTAAAATAGTGCTTTTAGCTGTTGCATCTCAGTTGTTTAAAATTATTTTAGCCTTATCTTAGATGTGACAACTACTATAAGTAGCAGTGGCTTTGCAACTTGTTCATAGCTGCTAATGTATTAAATTTTAGAACGTTCTGATTTGAGTCGTGGTAGCATAAACATATTTTTCAGTTTTGAAAGTGATGCTTTTCTGCAGCTGTGAGCTGTATACTTGTTAGACACAGCTGAATATTCAGCAACACACTTTCATATACCTCAATGAATGCAGTAGTCCTGGTGTGTGTAATCCTTTAGTTAATCAGTGAAAATTATATTGGCATACTAAAACATGAAACCTTGAGAGGTGTTTTAGCATTATGGAGAATGGAATATTGAATTAAAATACGTGACCGAATCCACAACTTGAATTTCATGGTGGGTTAGAGAAAATAGTCAAAGAGCTGTTTAAAAAAATCAATTGTACAGCATGCAACATTGGAAATAAAATGGATACTGAGAGCAACCTTGAGGAGAAGAACTTGGGGGTGCTGGTGGATAAGAAGCTCATCATGATCTAGCAGTGTGCACTTGCACCCAGGAAACCTGCCATGTCTTGGGCTGCACCAAAAGAACATGGCCAGCAGGGCGAGGGAGGGGATTTGCCACTCTGCTTCTCTCCTGTCAGACCCCACCTGCAGTGCTCTGTCCACCCAGCACGAGAAGGACCCGTTGGAGTGACCCACAGAAAGGTCACAAAGATCATCAGAGGGATGGAACACCTCTCTTAGGAAGACAGGTTCAGAGAGTTGAATTGTCCAGTCAGGAGAAGGGAAGGCTCCAGGGAGACCCTCTTGCCTTAGACCCTTCCAGTGCCCACAAAAGGCTGCAGGGAAGTTGGAGAGGGTATTTTTTTAAAGGGTATGTAGTAATAGGACAAGGGGGAATGAAAGCAGGCAGGTTTAGATGAGATATTAGGAAGAAATTCTTTAATGTGGGGGTGGTGAGGCACTGGAACAGGTTGCACAGTGAAGCTGTGGATGCTCCATGCCTGCAAGTAAGTGTTCAAGGCCAGAGTGGATGGAGCTCTGAGCAGAGTGGTCTAGTGAAAGGTGACCCAGCCCACACCAGGGGTTTTGGAACTTAGTCATCTTTAAGGACCCTTTTAACTCAAACCATTCTGATTCCAAAATAAATGTTACTTATGTTTGGGTTGAATTGGATTTATGTAGATGAAAAACATAAAGGTGCTTTTCAATTTTCCTTCTAGAAATGGTCATGATGCTTGTAGGGAGTTGATTGGATTTTTTTTCACATGTGACAAATCCCTTACTGTGTATGAATTTCAACAGTTTGGAAAAAACAGGTAGGATTAATTACTTTTTAAAAGGGGTTTTAGAAAACATATTTCACTTATCCAAGCATCCAAGGAGCTTAAATAAATATAATTGTTTTAGTACCAGTTTTGAATTATTTCACAGGACAAATGCCTTACCTTTCATTCATAAGGGAGTTTATCATCATCAACGTGGACAAAGAAAGGGAAAAGCTTATGATCTTAGTGACATTTACGTTGTAAGTATTCTTCTGCTGAATGTAATACTATTTCTTTGGAGGTAAAATTTGGATATTTGAATTGTAATTGTGATCTAGCCTTCTGGGAAGACCAAATGTCTTCCCCTTAAGAGACGTTTTTGAATTAAAGATTTTCAGAAGTCTGGATTTTTTTGTTGTGCCACGTTTTAGAGGTTCCAAATTTAAGTTTCAGATGAAGCTGTACTTTGCACTTCTCCCCCTAGAGGGCACAAGACTGCTGACAGTCTGGACCTTTTTTGGACGAAGTGATCCACTTCTCTCGGGAAGGAGGTCCTGAAGTAGACCAAAGTACTTGATGAAAGTAAATAATCTCTGCAAGGTCTGCTGGCACACTCGAAGCAATGATTAAATATTTTTTTAACATGAAGAAATGGCAGGTTAATTATTGTTTTTAATCTACAGTTTGAAATGTAAACAACAGCTGTTTAGAGCAAGTGTATGAAACAATGTTAAGCTTTGTCTACCATCTAATCTGGTGGCTGATTAAAAATCATATTGCACCTTCTGTACTGCTGTACTTCTGTACTGCCCAAAGTGTTCATGGTTTATAAATACTTGAGAAAGTTTTCAAGTACAGACTGTTTTCACCAAATTCTTCAAATGCTCCTGCAAATCTGAAGTTAGGAGGAAAAACCATGTTTGTGAGAAATGTAGAAAGTAAAAGATGTTAACATGAGTTTTAGTGTGTTTTGTCTAATCACATGCCTATCCTAACTGCTCACACAACCACCTAAGAATTTAGAAGATGAAATAGATGAGTTATGATATGGAAGATAAAGCTACTTGTTGGGATTTTCATGTTTTATTGTCATGTGTATTTTTGCAGCCTGCAGATGGAAGTCTATTCTGAATAAAGATGCATCCTAAAGATCAGTACCTCTTTGGAATGATGCTGTCTGTGAATCTCCATATCTGCTATCATGCTGCCTGGGCTGACATAAAGACATGCAGATCTCTTGCAAAGTCCAAGTGGTTGAGACCCTTGCACAGGAACAGTGTCTCTGTCTCCTCCTTCCAAAGTCATGAGTTTTGGACACTTTATAAACCAAGCCTGCCCAGATATTACAGTTAGAGCTACTGCAATTTTTATTCTTCTCAGTCTTCTTTACTTTTAGTTTGCTGCTTTTCTTTATTTCTCCTTCCCCTCTATGTATGAAATACACAACCTATTTTCAAATCATTGTGTGCTTTACCAACAGGGAGCCAATCTGACTTTCTGAAGTGTCGATCATAACCTTCCAGAAAGTGTTAAGCAGAACCCTTTCTTCACCCTTCGTGTGATAAGTATTGATGAAGCAGCTATGGATTACCTAAAATAAGTGCTGATAACTGCTTTTCAAATTACCTTTCCTTTCTTAAGCAAAAAAAAAAAAAAAAAAAAAAAAAAAAAAAAATTAGTTCCTAATTCCTTATTGTTTATACTGCTAAAAGCAGAATCCATACTGAGGCTGTTGTTAGGAGAAATTAGTAATTGATATTAGAAGATTTTGCATAGTCCAGTAACTTCCTAGAATGGTAAGGAGTAATTTTAAAGAAAGAATGGAAATGTGAATCTGTTCTTTTGCTTTGTTAGAGGTCACATGTTTTTATATACAAATCATATACCTCCTTTGTTTTAGTTTGTGCACATTGCCTCTTGTCTTGTCAACAGGCACCACTGAGCAGAACCTGTCTCAGTTTTCTTTACTCCTTTCTGTCAGGTACTCTTATGTACTTGAGGCTAAGACTCCTCAAGACTTCTATTCTCCAGGCTAAACAGTTCCAGCTCTCCCAGGCTCTCCTCATATATTTTATACTTTGATCCCTTCCTGATTAGGAAGAGAATAATTTTAATTTCAATTAAATATGCTCAGTATCTAAAGACTACTCTGTCTGTTTGTTAGCCGAACTTGACTATTATTTTCTTTCTGCAATTGTTTAGACACCTGAAGCTTGTTCTCAGATATGGTTATATTCACTTAAAGTCCCTTTAGACTGAAAGTTTTGCAGAGGAGCCATAGTAAGCTAACAGTGCATAGAACAGTAAATTCAAATTTAATTGGTTCTAGAACTGTATAGTTGTATGATGCTTAGTGCTAATTGTTCCCTCTCGGCTAGGTTTCAGTGAAATAAAACACAATATAGTTTAATTTCAGCTAGTTTATGTAAGACATTTTACATCTCAGCAGCCTATCATTCAAGTAAAGCAGCTTGTTCTATCATTTGTGGCTAATCTTATACCTGTGAAATTTGGAATTGAACCAATGTTATCTCTGAATAGAAGAACCATAAAGAAGAGCAGCTCAATGGGTTGTAATTTTGGATTTTTTACTACCTGTGGTAGAATTGATTATTATTTCCTTTTTTATACTCTCTCTGTATTCTTTCCATTAGTGACTAAGTTTCAGTCTATCTTTTTCTTTTGTATGAGGATGTTATTGAGCCCTCTATTCTCTGGTGCATAAATCTTGAATTGAGTCCTCTTACCTCCATTTCTCTACTGACAGAAAATCCTGTTCAGCTGCAGTCCAAAATGTCTACTGCAGGCTCCCAGGAGCAGCTATGCCCTTCTGTCACAAACCATGAATCTTTTGGTTTACGTATGTTCTGGAGGGAATATTTGGTCCTCTGCAGGTGCTTGTTGACTTTCCAGTTTAGGTGATCTGATGTAGGAAAGCTTTTAGGGACTTCATAATGGAAGGTACCCAAAGTGGAGATGAAAAGTCCTACTAGATGAGAGAGAGATAAGTCTTTGGCCTCAGAAAGCAGGAGTTTGTCATGGCAAAACACTGGTGAACAAGCAGCTCAGAGTTGACAGTAATGATTTTCCATTTTTAAAAATATTCTGATTAAAATAATTGTAGGACTTTGTTGGTTTGTTTTTTTTTTTTTTTTTCTTCCAGTAGGTTCTTCCAAAATATTTTTTTATCAACCTTTATAGTAATTTTTGATGAAGGCTTGTGGGAAGCCCTTCTCAGAAGGGAATTTAGCAGAAAAAACTCCACAAAATTTAATCATAATTTCTAGATATACTTTTGGTCTACACCTTTGCTATTTGTGTTCTAAAGAGAGATTTGAAAAGTATTACATGTTTTTTCTTGTTGGTGATTAAATGTAGTTACTTTAACAAACTCTTCCAGTGGTATGAGATTAGGATTGAACTAAACTTCTGGAGATTTTATGCATGGGAGGAATTAACCTTGGGTAGTAAATTAGTAGAGGCAATTCCAGTTAATATTGTTAGAAGAGAATTTCTGCGTATCTGCAGCTGGTCAGCAAAAACTTTTGTGAGTTCCCTCTCAACCTCAAGCAATTGGATATTGTGTTTACAAGGGTAGTATATGAATTAAAGTTGAGTATGTTGGCATTTTTTACTATATCTGTTTTGAATATAGTCATATTACATGCAATTTTACCAATCAACATTAATTTTGACTTCTGTAGAGCTTCCTCTCTGGAACTCAAGGAAGAGTGCTCCAGGCAAGTAGTTGATGAAAGTGAAGTTTTCAAGAAGATTCAAGGTTTGTATCTACCAGAACCCATTCAATTTTAGTTTCTATCTTTTTAGAATAAAGAAGCAACTCTGTGTCTCATAATGGAATTTCTGTATTCTTCTGAAGTAGTTGTTCCATAGTTGCTTTGTATGTTAAATAATGGCATGGAATCAGTTCTCACAGAAGTAGGCAGTTTTACAGTCTGAACATATTGAGGGCAATAGCCATTTTTTCTTTTCTTATGTGGTCTCTTTGAAAAAAGTTTGTTAGATATTGCTTGTTAAACATACTTTATATGATTTTCACTCAAATGTTAAAAAAATGATGATTTCCTTTTGGACTGGCTTTTTTTCATCAAACACAAGGGAACCTGAATGCATGGGTATGTCTTTCTAACCAGCACCATCATGTAGAAGTAAAGAACGTGGTGTTCTTTACCTCTATATTGTCTCCATAGCAAGTGGACAATTTCAGGTAAATTTTGTGTCCTTTATTTCTCTAAATCCTCAGGTATATTCAGAGAAACACTAAGTAAAAGAGGATTTGGGGTTATAACAGGCTTAGGAAAATATTTCCTACAAATAGACAAGAACAGAAACGGTCTGCTCTCTCAGACAACCTTGAAAGAAGCTCTAAAAGTATTCCATTTGGAAATGCCTGAAGGGGTGAGTCTAGTTGGAACTAAACATGGGTATTATCTTTCTTAATTTATGGAATTGCTTCTTTTCCTTGCTTAAATCTATAGTTTCATACCTGGGTTGTGCATGTTTTCTTTTGGTGTTTTTTTTCCCCTTAAGGTATGTTGGCATTTCTGCACTCAGTTCTATGTGAAGTTCTTCAAAATAAAAAAATAATATATTTTAAAACATGCAATCTTTTTTTACATCATGACATGAAGAAACAAGTGTGATTGTAACCCATTTTTTCTCTTTAGGCTTTAGAAAAATAGTTTTGCTCTTTACTTAGGTTCTTTCTCTGTTTTATATATTATGTTGTAAAAGTAGCTCACAGCTATCAGAACTGCCAACAATGTGAATTATGGTCATCAGTGACCGACCACTGATAACGTGTTATTTTAACAGATCTTTGAGTGAGTATGGATCTAGAAGTTTGGGGGGTTTTGAGAGAATACCGTAATTTCCAATTATAGCAATTGTTCTATTTCAGGATATAATGAAGAACTTAGGCAAAATATTTTTAAATTGCAGGACTTTTAGTCCTTATGGTTTATTCTTGATGATAGCAAGAGTGATAAGATCGACTGTGGAGAATTTACTCATGCCATATTTGGAGAAATGAATGAATATAGGAAAAATTTGTAAGAAAAGTAAGTTTTATTGCAGATATTTTAAGTGTAGATATTTTGCAGTCTAACTTTGGAGCTAGTCACTCATCATATTCTAGTTGTTGGGTATTGTTGCTATTTTTATTAAGTTCTATACCTGGAAATTGACTTCTTGAAGTTTCAGATCAGTTTATCAACAGAAAGGTAAATTAGTGGACTGCATGCTCTTCCATTGTTAAATTAGTTCATTTTAAATTCTAGAATTAATTCCTTTATTATTTTGAGTTTTCATGCATATGTGCTGTTCTTATAGTTCAGTCCCATGTATAAAGTATCTGGCACCCTAGGATGATCTCTTCCAGAAGCCTGTTTCCTTATTCTGGCAAATCACAAATCACAAATTTTGGCAAATCTGCATGTGTAGACTTTCTTCCTGCAGTGCCTGAAATAGGATGCAGCAATACTTGTTTCCTTTGAGACCAACAGTAAGAGTCATCATATTTATGAGACATGTTATATGGGAAATGCCACTTGTTATTTGTCTATAATGTAATGTGGAGCTGTTTGCAGTATCAGCCACTGATCACAAACCAGCCAAAGGAGTAGCAACTGGATATCAAGATCAAGAAAAATGACAAATACTTTCATGCTTTCTATCATGGAGGATCTGACTCTCCTAGCTTTATGTATGGAGCATGTGTATTTGAGTAAACTGAAATGCAAATGAAGCTGCTGTTAGCAGTGCTGGAGAGGCTGTGGGGAGGCTTCTGTCAGAATGATGCGGAATCTTAATAATTAGAGGAGGCATAAGGGAAGCAGCTGAACTTCTGATTCTAAAGATGAGCTAGAAATTAGGGAGAGGAGACAATTTTTTTGTGTTCACAATTTTTTTTGTGTTGGCCGCACATTTGATGTGAAAACTGCTGAGGTAAAATAATCATGAAACTGCATAATCTAGAAGGATTTTCTAGTATCTGGTGCCTTGCATAAGATAGGTGAATTGACATCATCCATTCCACAAGATCTAAAAGTATGTGCTAGGTAGTTAAGTGTATTTGATCTTTTTATCTTTCCACTTTTTTTTTTTTCCTGAGATGCTAATATGAAACTCTTTTTTCCCCTATAGGCTTATATGAAACTAGATTTCAACAAAACTGGGAGTGTGCCTGTGGTAGATATCAGAAAATGTTACTGTGCAAAGAAACATCCTCTAGTATTGGCAGGTAATTCGGATGAACAAACAAACAAAAATCTGTAACTACGGAAATCATCTTAGCAGAGATAGCAGATCCAGAAACTGGTTGGAAATACAAACTGTTTTCATATTTACTTAGACTTGAGCTGTTAAAGGGGAACTTTCTTCATCTGAATTGAGTCTCTCCAAACATAACGGTAAGTAGTAATGAGTTCATATACACAATTTTAATACTTGCCCTTTATCAAGCTGCTAATACTGTCTGTATGCAGAGTACTTCTTTTCCCTACCTCTGTAAGCAGTTATTTCACAGCTTTCATCTGTAAGTTATCAGTGGCAAATATGATATTAATATCTTTCAATTAGTAGGATACTCTCATTTTCACATTACTGTTTTCCATCAAAATGTGCAAGGATTCTAACTGACATGGAATGTACTCAGCACTTGAATAATTTATTCAGAAGGAACTGAATTTATTTCTGGGACAGGTTTGTCATCCTGTAGAGAGGAAATGCTGGATTCTTCATTATTTTTTCCAGGATTCTCAAAAATGTTTAAAGTCTGATATTGAAAAAATAGAAATTTAAATACTTGTATGTCTGTTTTAGAAAACAATACCTCCATGTACCAGTCACTGTGAAAGTCTCCATAATGTCATGACCCTTTCTTTTTTACCTGTAGAAGAGAGAGGGTTTTTTATATTGCCAATGATTTTAATGATAATACATGAAGTCACAGGGGGTATAGGGATACAATATATGATTTTTTTTCCAATGCTGTAATGCCATATTTTTTGTACTTTTTTCCTCAATGAAATAATCTTGAGTACTATCTTTATAAAATTACTAAGACACAGATGTCAATTGTAGAACATGTTTCAAATGCCAATTTCCATCTTAAAGTTTTCCCAGAACTCTGAAGTTTTATTACAGTAAACATACACTTTCTTACAAGATAACTTCACAATTTTAGTTTACAAATGCATTATGCAGCTTTTGCAGTCATTTGAAGAAAAACATTTTCAAGCTCTCATAATTCATTGTGACTGGCTTACCCTGTGTTTTCTGTGGATACTTCTATCATGCTATTAAAGTAAGGTAATTTCCACAGGTGGTAATAAGTGAACTTAATTCTGAAATCAGAATATTGAATTTATTAATGAAAAAAATGTCTGCAAGCTAAAATTTGAAAGTTTCTTGCCTGAAGTATATTAAATACTACATATTCACTCTTCTTTAAAATGTATTTAATAGAAAAATATACTTTCACAGGCAAAACTGCAGAAAAGGAAATTAAATCATCATTTCTAGAAGCATTAGGAGAGTCCTGCAGCAACCCCAGTGAAGTGTCCTATTCTGAGTTTGAAGATTACTATGAAGGATTAAGTTTGGAATTGTGGGTGATGATGATTTTGTTAATATCTTATGGAATTCATGGGGAATTTAGAGTGGAAGATGACAAAAAAGAAGAAGGGACACTTTCTAAACAAGGAGTGACTAAGTAAGAGAGGATTTAATCTTGATGGGCATTACTTTATAATTAATGTCTTAAACTGAAATCAGGGGCAGAAAACTTCAGATGCTTTCAGAATAATACATGGCAAATTTCATGGAGTGTCTGTTGAGTTATGCTAGCCATTCTTCTAATAAAAATGCTGTTCATGTCTTTTCACTGGAAATTATTAAGGCTGTTTCCCATACAAAAAGTCATTTTTTAAAATATTAAAATAAAGTTTCCTATTTTAAAATAAGAGGGAATTAGAATACTAAAATGCCTGAAGGGGTATGTGCAAGAGAAAATTTTGTTTTATGATGCATTGTGAAAATCTTCACATTTGACTGCACAAATGTGAATGTTAGCTTTCCTTCAGAAATTTTCTTTAAACATTCTTTTTTTTCTTATGCTTATGCTGGTACTTAGCTTGAAAGAGAGCAGGTCATCCTTTTCCAGTTTTGAGAATGTCTGCTGTACTGAAAGTGCAGAGATGTTCACAGCATTTAGCCCCTTGACCTGAGCACCCTCTTGACTGATCTTGCTTTGTCATTTTGATCAGGCATCTGAAGCTGAGCATCGGATCTCAAAGGTTTTAGTAATCACACCTGTATTTTGTAATGCATATTTTTCTTTCCTGTATTTTGCTAGATGGTTTAAAAATTATATTTAAATATCTGTTGTCTTTATATTGCTGAGATTTTTTAACTAAAACATAGCAATTATATATTTTGTCAAACTGATATATAGCATTCCCTATCTATTCTGAAAGTATAAAACAGAAAAGTATTTTAAAAAGGCCCAAAACAACCACCTCGGCAACCACGAAAATTAAATTATAAATTAAAATATTCTTTGCTATTTCAAATGTTCTGACAGGTACGCTTTTCAATGTAATACATCTTGCTAATTCTGTAAAATTCTTTGTGTTAAGAAATAAAAATACACAGTTAATGAGAGAGAGAGAGACTTTGATTTTCATACACCTGTCACTGAAATTAACTATATGTTGAACTGCATTTCTTAAGCCTATGCAATTAAAATATATAACTTTCCTCTAAGCTTGTCTGCCTGGTTTTGAATTTATAGTCTGTTGGTAAAGCAATCTTCCTCTGAGACAGAATTTGTGTTTCATAGGAATTAAAGGGCAGTGCTGGAATGAGGGCTTTGGTCCCCTGTGGCTGGCTAGCATAGTCCAGATATAATAACTTGTTGTGTGTTTTTATGTATGGATTGTTTGACCATGGCCTCAAATGTAACAAGTATTGGAGGTTCTATTCTAAATCCTCAAATGAGGGATCTTGGGTGGGTTCTTTTGGGGCTGCAAAAGGCTGTAAATATTTTTTTTACAGGGAAAAGCAGATTTTGTCAATGAATATTCTGAGCAAGAATTCTGACTCATTACGATTTTCTTGTTCCCCATTCTTGCTGGAATTTCTCTTGCTGGAAAGGTTTTGTTAATTATTATCCTTGGAACTAGTGATTCTGAGAAGGGCAGGTAATTCTGAGAAGGGAAACTTTAGCTGGTTGTAGAGGGATCTGCTCGTTAATGAGTCCATTCAAATTTCTGAAAAAATGCCAAGTCACATTTTTGTTAGTTTTTAAAAGAATCATGCTCTATTTAGACTTTTTCACTTAGGAGAATTGTACCAACAGATAAAACTGTAGCTTAATTTAATGAATGAAAGTGATTGTGAAATGAGGTACTGACATATTTCTTTATGCAATGTTTAATTTTATTGCGAAGCTTTTAGGAAAATTGTTCCACATTTTCCTATGGAATGGAAAGATTCAAGACAAATAGATGTATACTAAGTGGGCCTGCTTGTCAGAAGAAGCTGTGTAAGTCATATCTACTGCAAATTTATTTTGTTGTTATCATGGAAATGAGGTGCTGTTATAAGAACATAGCTTTTATAGTCCTGCATTGTTTTTTTTAATCTGAAGACAGGTCCCTAAGGATAATCTAAGATAAATTCTAAAGGTCAAAATTTTCCTGAAAATGAAAGCAGTACTGTGGTAATTAAGTGAAACCTGTTAGCTATGTAATTTCTATTAACTACAAGGTCATTTACACAGGTCCTGCTTGACCAGCTTGATCTCCTTTTATGATCAAGTGACCTGCCTAGTAAATGAGGGAAAGGCTTTGGGAGTTGTCTACCTGGACTTCAGTAAAGTCTTTGATGCCATTTCCCACAGCATTCTCCTGGAGAGGCTGGCTGCTCATGGCTTAGACAGCTGCACTGTTTGCTGGGTAAAAAACTGGCTGGATGGCTGGGTCCAAGAGGGTGGTGGTGAATGGAGCCACATCCAGCTGGTGAACAGTCACTGGTGGTTTTCCCTGGGCTCAGTACTGGGGATAGTCCTGTTTAATACTTTTATTGATGAGCTGTGTGAGAGAATCAAGTGCCCCCTGAGTAAGTTTGCAGACTGTGTGGGGGTATTGATCTGCTGGAGGGGAAGAAGGCTCTGCAGAAGGATCTGGGCTGGATCAATGGGCTGAGGCCAGTTGTGTGGGGTCCTACACTTGGGCCACAAGGCTGAATGCCAGGCCCTACATTTGGGTCACAACAACTCCATACAGCACTACAGGCTGGGGACAGAGTGGCTGGAAAGTGGCCTGCTGGAAAAGGGCCTGGGGGTGCTGGTTGGCAGCAACCAAACATGAACCAGAGTGTGCCCAGGTGGCCAAGAAGGTCAGTGGCATCCTGGCCTGTGTCAGCAATAGTGTGGCCAGCAGGAGCAGAGCAGTAACTGTTCCCCTGTACCGGGTGCCAGTGAGGCCACACCTCACCAATTCTGGGCCCCTCACTACAAGAAGGACATTGAGGTGCTGGAGCGTGTCCAGAGATGAGCAACAGTGCTGGTGAAGGGTCTAAAGAATAAGTCATATGAGGGGCAGCTGAGGGAGCTGGGGTTGTTTAGCCTGCAGAAAAGGAGGTTCAGGAGAGACCTTACTGCTCTCTACACACACCTGAAAGGAGGTGGGGGTTGGCCTCTTCTACTGGGTAACCAGCAACAGCACAAGAAGAAATGGCCTCAAGCTGCAGTGAGGGGAGGTTAAGATTAGACATCAGGAAAAAAAATTCCACTGAAAGGGTGATCAAGCATTTGAACAGGCTCCCCAGAGATGATGGAGTAACCATCCCTGTAAGTGTCCAAGAAATGACTTAGCACATGGTGTTTAGTCAAAAGTTGGACTCTGAGATCTTTTACAGTCTTTTCCAACCTTACTGATTCTGTGATCAGTTGTTGCCTCATCAGACATGATGTCTATGAAAAATTTTTAATGGCATTCACAAAAGTCAATCTTATTCTGCCCACAGTTTCTCATTGTCTAAACTTCAGATGGTGGCAAAGAATTCAAACCAAATTCTTCCCAAGGTTTGCCCACCATGCTTACATTGAGTAGAAAAACACAGTAACTTCAAACCAAGGTCTGTGGTATCTGATTTTTTATTAAGAGTTGTCTCAATGGCCTGAATAATTGTGTTCTGACTTGCTCTTATGTACTTGTGAACATTTAATGAACTGAATTCTTTCATTTAATCAATGCTTTGTAGCTTTAAAACCTGGGTTTACTGGGTTTAAAAACTACTGGGTTTACTGCCTTTAAATGCATTTCAAATAAAGCTTTCTACACTTGCTATCTTTTTAAGAATTGCCCATGTTTTCCAAATTAGAGTGTGTTCTTACTTAAAGTGGGGTTCTCAAAGAAGATTCTTCACTGAAATTCACTGCTTAATGAACTAGTTGTCTTCATGCCACCATGATTTACACTTCTGCTAAAAAGTTATAGCAATTTGCTGTAGTTGAAAACATCAGAAGTGCATTATGGTGTGAATGTATTGTGTCCTATTAGATGTGCAGGCTCCCAGAAGACAAGTAGAAATTAGTTAAGTCATTTAACTCTTTATTCTTAAGGTCTGTAACTACTTCATTAAGTGAATATGCACTGACACTGTAAGCTGGAATGTTTAAGAGCACTTTGAAAAATCGAAGCACAGGCACACAAAGAGCAAACCTGCAGTAGCTTCACTTTGTCTGCTAATGGAAATACAGCATCCTCACCATGTTTGGCTTTGTTGCTGAGAGGAGGCATTTTTACTGATTCACACTCAAAAACTCATTTCTTTTCCATAGATTAATGCCAGGTGATCAAATTGTGTGCATCTTTGTGGCCAGAACAACAAAAAGATTAAAAACATATCTACCACTGTGTGTTTGTAGGGACGTGCTGCTTACTTTTGGAGTTTGGGTTTTTGTTTTTATGTGCATTGGTTATTTGGTTTGTTGGTTGGGATTTTTTTGTTTATGCTTTTTTTTATTGTGTGAGAGTGTTTTTTGTGTTTTTGTTTTTTGTTTGTTTGTTTTCGTTTGTTTTTGTGGTTTTATTTTTGGTTTGGTTTGGTTTTAAGCATGCTATCTCTGCATAGTAAAAAAGCCTAGAACTGATTTCTGATATGTTGAAGAAAACAAGTAAGTTTCTGTGTCAGAAAAAAGGAAGGTAGAAAAATTACATGCTTTTTTTTTTTCCTTGATATTACTCTAATAGTTTATCCTTCTTCTTTATACTTAGCAATTCAGAGACTGAGATAGTTCAGTACTTGCTTTTCATGTTGTTAACCATCTTGTCTTTGACAAGTTGAGTCAGAACTACTCTGTTGTAACCATCAGATGTCTCCACTGATGCAAGAGGTCTATTTAGGCTATTTGTTCCACAGGGGACATTTCATAATATTAACCAGATTGGAAGGTACTTAGGAAAGAAATTTGCTAAGACATTATTTGCATCATGACCCTATGAAATATTTTTATTTTGTGACTCCTGCACTTTTGTGGTGTCCCTTTTTGACTGTGAGGAACTTGAGGCCTAAAGTTGATAAAAAATACCTTTGAGCAAAAAAAAAATAAAAATAGGTGCTTATCACAGGTTTCTTAATTTTTATTAGAGCATCTATTTTGTTTATCTGGAATTTGTAGTATTTTCTGGGTATTTTTTTCCTCCTCTCTCATATGTTACATATTGGGTGGAATTAATTGGATATGTGCACAGAAATTTCAGTATCAGCATTTGCTGACAATGTCAGAACTTAGTGTGTCCAGTCTCCCCAGAGAAGCAGCTCCAAGAGAAGTAATAGTAATTTCTTTGTGGTTTGATTTTTTGCTCCATTCTCATGAAAGATGTTTAATATTTT